GGCTCTGCTGACGGCGACCAGCTTCAGGCATGTAGCACATAGAAGGCGACCAAGTTCTGACCTTTTTTTCTTAAGGAAATAACATGTCAATATCACGTGCAGTATGCTTCGCCCTGTATCTACTGAGTAAACGGCGCATCTCTGGTTACCCAAGTAGCAGGCGATCGGAAGACGATGTATCACGAGTGTGTATAGGTTTCAAAGGGCAGACGCAAATTCAGATTCGCGGTTTTAGCTCCTTACACACAAGTGTACTGTGAGCCTAGTAAAGCAATGTCTCAGAGGTAATTGTACTCGCCAGCTATGAAATAAGAAATTTGGATATGGACTGGTGTTGGAAGACATGTTACAGAAGACTCCGGGCAATGCATTGTATCCAGGGGGAAAATTAGAATCCCATTAGAGTCCACACGTCGATGTTGGAAAGTTTCGGGGATTCTTTTGAATGATCATATCTTGCTACACCGGGGACAATGCCGTTCATGCCTCGCTGTACTTTGGCAATAATAGACTATGAATCGAGGTGCCTCTTTTTTATAAAGAAGACTGTCAGAACTAAGATGAACACACGGAGTACGCATAAGGCACAAGTGGACCTCGCTAGTACTAAAAGAACCCCCATAGTTCACACAAGCACCATTGTAAAGGCGAACGTTCGAAGGCCCCTGCCACTGTGGAGAACTAACTATTGAATACAATTTCGATCCTGGAATTTGTCAATGGGGCTCTGTAGCAAATGTCCACCGTTAGAACCGAACTAGTTTAGTGGGGGCTAGGATGATCTTGGACAGGGGTCTACGTACTTTGTACAATCTATCGTTCCATGCCAATGTAATTATTGTTTGCTAGTTTTTCCACAGCCCTGCTCCTAGGAGATGAAACGAGCAAACTTGAAACCCCAAAGAGTTTAAGGTGCCAACAGGCGGATATGGATTCCCGGCAGTTCGCAGTTCTAATCTTAGATCTCGGTCTGTGCGCCACAGAGTCGCAAGCGCGTGTGAACCCTGTCGAGATGTGATGGCCCTTGGGGGCCAATGTCATCACTTGTGCGGGGATATTTAATTGGTCCTCGGTTAGTTGCTGACAATTGTTTGTTGCTAAGTTTAAACTCATTCTCAAAATAAACTACCCTGCTCAAGGCTGATGAAACGGCGTCAAGGAGTATGAGGTGATCGGGAACACTCAAAACCCCCACTGGCAATATTACAGTACATTATACGTGTAGCCATCAGGGGATAGAAGGGGATAGAAAGTCCAGGCCAGACGGAATATTTCCAGGGTTCTGTTTCACGGGCCGTGTTTACGAAATCCAGGCTATTCAAAAGGGTTTTGATAGTGAATACATATATATACCTCGGGAAGATGTGTGCGGTCAACTTCAACATATAAAACCAGGATTTATATACTTTGATCTTGAGACCTGGTCATTTAGTCATTTTAGGCCTTTGACGTCGACAAAATTTAGATGTAACACAACTCATTTCTAGTGTCGATCCATCACACTGAAGATTTTAAGGACAATAGCGAAAACCGGCCACTCTATGGGGAATTCGGTCCGAACTTCTTCTAGTCAGGACAAAAGTCCGAAGCTATTCAAATAGTCGGAATCATTGGTGGATTGTGATGGTCATTGCTTAAGATCTACCTCCACTGGTCTGTCATGTTAGGCATAACCTGGAGAGTTTGGTAATTGTCTTTCAAGGCATTACAATGTACAACATATATACATATTTCTGACAAAAAATGAACCGATGTGGCAATGTAATGGTATATGAAGAAGTGATATGTAATTTTGTGAAGTGGCAAGTCCCGAGGTACTCAATGTGATGTGATTCGAGGAACATATAACAAAAAAGATAAACAAGAGAACAAAGAAATAGTAATATATAATGTTCCATCAATATTTGAGTCAATACCAAAAAAAAAGAAAGAAAAAAAAAAAAAAAAACAAAGTGGAAAAGATAATTCCCCCAAGGTGGCGCCAAATACATCGGGTACAGCGAAACCCATATTTGGTAATATTAAGGAGGCACCTGACGCTCTCCGCTTTTGCCTTCGCAAACTTCCTCTTTTTCTCCCTTTCCCCTCCATCGACAATACCCATCTTCTATCGAATAACTGTGTAGACGCATCTATCGTCTCATTGCATCTTGCATTTGGTCTCTCTTTCATTTTTTCCCCTTCCCTTTCTCGTTCCTTAGCCTCATCCTATTGAGTCTTGAAGCCTTTCGCCCCTTCTACTCAGGGTATTTCATCTATATCCAACCTATATTCACCTGATGTCTTTGGATTGATTTCTCTCGCGAGTTCCTAATCCGCAGTCCTATCTGGGAATTCCATCTCGAACGTTATATTTTTACATCTGATCGATTTCTGTCTGCCATCTTGCATCGATACATATAATCCTCTCGCTTTTTCGTCACATTCCAGTTGCCGTTCATCATGCGGGAAGTCAATTTTAGTATTCCCAATGTGAACAAGGCCTCGGTCAACATCACCACCACCCTCTATGACCGTCGTGCCCTTGATTGCACATCGACCTTACCGCTCATCAACTCTCTCAATCATCTTGCATACCTCACAACTTCGTCAGCCCGAATTCGAGACATCCTCACCGTCGATGGCGGCATCGAGCGACTAGTATGCATCCTCAAAGAAGGTCGGAGCAAGGATTTGATGGAAATGTGGAAATGGAGCCTCGCTTTCCAATGCGTTGTCAACATCGGCGTGCGAGGTTCTGAGGGGGTGAGAACCAGAGTGGTGGAAGCCGACATGGTCCCTGTCATTGCCACCATTCTGAACAACTATATCAAGGTGGTGGACAAAGTACGATCGCGTAACGATCCCGATTCCGAAAAGCAGGCTTCTTCCAGACAGTCAAAGCCCAGTCCCAGCCGAGATGTCTCTACTCGTTCCACCCCTATGGATGCGGATACCCAGGTCGAGTCACACTCGCAGGTCGAGTCGCACCAACCACGTCGACAAGCCCCTCCGCCGAGTATCGAAATTCCCCGGCCTTTCTACCAAGACAGTCAGCCGAATGACTCCGATGCCATGGATATCACATCCCCTCCTCGTGCCCCTATGACATCCCCCCCGGAGCGCAGTACATTTGGCCAAGAAGCCCATAACCATCGGCTCAACGATGGGCGGTTCCCACGTGCTAGCATTCGCCTACGGTCAATGCAGCCTCTTGCCACAGCTGTTCCCTCCATGGATACCACAGATGGGTTCGGACTGCGCCCTGTACGAGACACAGAGCGTCTTCCTAGCATGCTTCCCGGTTTGCAGACTGGGATCGTCTCGCAACCCGAGTCTCCGACTACCCCAAGTGGTCCCCTCCACTCACAGCCTCGAAGCCTTCCCCAAACAATCGCCGCTCGGCAGCGTCCTTTGATCCGTCAGCAACAGTCGGGCTCCGGTGAATCGGATGATGCCAATGGCGAAGATTCGACCATGGGAGATGATAGCACTATGGGACAGCCTGCCGAAACCATCGTTGGGCTCCCGAACCGGATGGAACTTGACAGTGTTGAAGAGCGGGAAACAACAATGCTAGATGATGTCTCTACCGCTCATGACCTGACCGTCAATGATCCCTCTGAAGAGGGCGGCCCGGAGGTGGAAACTTTCAACATTACTCATCGTTCCACCGTTGACGGCAGCATCATTAATAACGGCAACACGCAGGCCAATGGCGGACTTGGTCTCTCTCCTACCCAAGCCACCAACAACCCCAATTCTCCTACTCTCGCTCCTAGCCCTTACGCTTTGTATCTTCGTGACCGCAATGCTCCAGCAGCCCAAGGAGTCTTGACAACCATGCCTCGTGATGAGGATGTCTTGATGTCCCTTCAACTACTAGCATATGTCTCGAAATACTGCAACCTCCGATCGTACTTCCAGTCGTCTCACCTTGTCCCCAAGTTGAAGATTGATCGCGAACTCCATCTCCTAGATGAGAATGCCGACCCCTCTACGCCAACTGATATGTGTGAGGAGGAAGACGAGTACTTGCTGCCTGATGATGTCAACATCTTCCCCCTGGTGGAGAAGTTTACTGTTCGACACCACTCCAAAGACATGCAATACTGGGCATGCGTGGTCATGAGGAACCTCTGCCGTAAAGATGAGGCGAGAGGTGGCATCCGCCAATGTGCCTATTACAAGTGCGGCAAGTGGGAAGAGTTCCAGCGTCAGTTCGCCAAGTGTCGACGTTGCCGTCGCACCAAATACTGCAGCAAAGATTGCCAGAAATCTGCGTGGGTATATCACCGGCACTGGTGCCATACGACCCCTTGATACGACCAAATGACCCCAGTGGAGTTTGATTTTGATTTCCATGCATACCGGCTCGCATAGCGTCATATTCGTCTTGCGTCTCCCTTCCGTTCTGTTCCAAAGGTTCCTCTTGTGCATGGCATTTCAGAATCTGGCGGCGTTTCCATTTCGACCCGACGATACCTTTTACATGTCTAGCCTTTTCATATTCCCTTTCTCGCACAGCTTGCCTTCATCTTGGTTCATTGTCCTAGGGCATCACTTTGCGAGCCCTTTTATTTATTGCTCATATCCCCATTTGACCATTTCTCATGACTGTACATCTCATCCTAACCTCACCAGAGGCAATATTCCCTTTGCCTTTCATGTTTTTTTGGGCCAATCTGTTTCTCATCATAACTAATTGCGCTATTACGAGTTTCCTATGTTAGTAGATGGGCATCATTGCCAATGAGGTGTTGGCTATGTTGTGGTCATCTGGGCACATCCCATCTATCATTCTCTCATCTATGTCCGGAGGACCTATCTTTTCGTGTGTTTGCACTTTGCCACAACGGCACAGGCGTTTACAATTTATTCCCAATCTTACGAATGAATCTGTTTCCATTTACTCAAATGAGCCATTAGCTACATTTAGTCGGTAAGTAATCCAGGCTTAGCAGAGCGCCAAGCATCGAAACTATCTGGTCCCCATCTCACCAGGGCTCTATGGGTGGTCATCACTCATCCTTAGTAAACCCATACGTAGCCTCCAACCTTGACATAAGATGTCCATGCGCCGTCAAAGGCCTCTTCCCAGGTACCAAATGTCCCGCCCCACCCCCAAACCCAACCCTCCCATCAGCAACACCCCCCGTCTTCTCCCGATGCGCAGCAACAATCCCACTAGGAACAGGCACCAACTCCGTCTCATCAACAGGATGACAGAAGTAAACCAACGTATACCGATCCTGCGGATTCGGGCTCCGCTGCTCAGCAAGCGGAAACACCACACGATGCACAGTCGACTTCAACAGCCCATCCGTCCAATAACTCAACAAATCCCCGATATTCACCAAGATAGGCGGGAACGGATACCCCTTAGCCTCGGCTTCGGTGCCAGGCACAATGGGCACGGGTGCCCAGCTGCCTTCTGGAGTCAGGATCTCAAGACCTGGCTGGCCGGGACGCTGAAAGAGAAGTGTTATGCTGCCGTAGTCGGAGTGCGCGCCCGCTCGCACGTCCTTGTCGTGCTTGTAGGCTGCTGTTGTTGGTGAGAAGATTGATGGGTAATATAGGTACCGGAGGATGCTGCCTGTCGGACCTCTGGTTGGGTCGTGGCGGGTTGTAAAGAAGTCCTCTTGCATCTGGGTTGGTTGGTATGATAATTCGAGGTGGATATGCTAGGGTATATAGATTGGGGTTACGTACCTCTAGACCTAAGGCTAGTAGAGTCAGGATTCGGGTGCAGGTCTTGTTGCAGAGTTCGCTGAAGCTGTTGATCTCTGCTTCGTGGGGGGCTAGTGAGGGTGGTAGAGGCTGTTGGGCTTTGCCGTCTTTGAAGTCGCCGAAGTTCATGGCTCTGGTTGGGTGGTTAGTGGGAGAATTTCAAGGAGATATATGTATGGCTGGTTCATACTCTTTGAAGTCTCCGGTCTGTTAGTCATATCTAATGTTAGTCGTAGTCTATGCCAGGGAACTGTACGACCTACCAGCTGATGCTCGGGGTCGAGGGTTTCTGTATGCATTCCAGACCAGCCTCGGTTCTATAGATTGAAATTAGATTGAATACGTTTGTTTGTCTTCTGTTCACAAACATTCTGCTGGATCTGGCATGTTTCTTTCTCCTGTGTGGGAGATGAAAAGAACTTTTTTGACTATAGGAATGGTTAGATGTGCATATAGATGTCGATTGGAAGGAAAATATTACCAATCCGAATGCATGGTCTACATCCTCCACGGTGAAATCGGTTCCTTTGCTGTTGACATATAAAAAGCCATACTTTGCAGCAGCATCCAGCATGGCCTTCCCTACGGCTGGGTCATGGGGATTGGATATGTCAATGACGGGTAGCTCAATTGGGACTGTGCTATCCATTTTGAAGAGTTGATAGAAATAGGTTACTTAGAAGAGCTAGGGTTAAAGGTGAATATATATAGCTGAGCTATTAGCGCACATGTGATCCTATCGCATATCTTCATAATCAAATTCGATCCAACCAATGACAATTCCTTGTTTAATAGCTCCAGTCAGTTTTTTTGGGTCAATTCCGAGCTCAGGCGATATCCGAAATGAACTTTGAACCCCGCCGATGTGTCATTGTCCCCGCTTATACAAGGCCCTTTTAGCCTGGAGATATAAATATGTCTGATACTTAGTAAGATAATAGCTGTCTAACTATGTAGGAATATGGAGTTATATACTTTACACTATAAACATACTATATTACGTGGTGGATTGGATTTGTGGGACTGTTCTATTTAAACATATGGGGATGACTTCATTATAAACCGTACATTCTTCTATATAGAACAGATAAACAGATAGACAGTGAGCTCAAGCAGCTGAACATAAAATAACTAAATCAAATACAAGATAAAAGACCTAAAAAAATAAAAAAGAAGTGGTTGAAACAAGTGACACAAGTGCTGTGATGCGTTAAAAAGGCAAAAAAAACAAAAGGGCCCAACTCCAACTCCGCCTTCCCCCCCCCTCGTGATCTCGCCCTCCCTCATTCCAAAACCCCAAACAATCCCAGCTCCGATTCATCATATCCTAACGGAGCTTTTGATCCGCTCTTACTTTTGTCATACCCTCTTGTTCCCACCTTCGGGCTTTGATGCCCGGCGTTGCCGTGCTTTCAGCCCGTAACAGACAAGCTCCAGAACCATGCCGAGTACGCAACAGCTCCACAATCCACAATCGCACCAGCTAATCCTTTATCTTGGCTAGTCCGTCCTCTCGATGAATGGGTCATTGGCCGTACCCAGTCCCTGCCTCTATCAGCATTGAAGGGCGCCGTCGTTGGCATCGATGCAGCGCACTACATCAACCAACACCTCGTGAACCAGTCAACCCGGGAAGCGCTCCTAGGCGCACTAGGCGGATTCCCGTTCGCCTTGAGGACCAACATCGAAAAGGAACTACAGACTTTCAAGAACCTTGGTGTCGCCACTATCTTCGTCTTCAATGGATTGGAATTCGGCAAGAAGGAGCAGCGCACCCAGCCTGCAACGTCGCGCTCATTCGAACAAGCCTGGGAACTTTACGACCAGCAACAAGCAGACCAGGTGGTCGATGCATTCAGCAGTGCGGGTATGATCTATTTCTATCCTTATCTCACTTTCCCCCCGGTGATGGACCTGGAAACCCTTTGTCGATTCTTTGACTCACAGCGAAGCTTCCCTATGTTCGCTGACACAACCGGATCCCCAGGCACCCCGCCCCCGGAGACCCTCTTCAAGTTCCTGCAACGAATTTTAGCCCAGAACGGAGTCGAATTCATCGTAGCGCCATACAGCGCCGCGGCTCAGGTGAATGGTTACCCTATGCGCCATGGTTGTATTGTGAAGTGTTAACCAATTTATTTGAACAGCTCTCCTACCTTGCCCGTGGTAGCAACCCTGTTGTTGATGCTGTTTTTGCCCCCTCCGAAGCCCTTTTGTTTGACCTTGACAAGCTAGTCACCCGTATCGACACAGAGCCCGCGCAATTCTTCTGGATCACAAAGCAAACCTGCCAGGAGGAGCTGGGCCGACTTTCCAATGAACAATTCCTGGACTTCTGTTTACTACTGGGCTCCCCTTTCCTGCGATCCCTCCCACTTTTCGAGAACCCTGCTTACCCCGGAAAAAGCCCCACCATTCGTGATGCGTTGCCGATGTTCAATGCAGCTGGACGTAGTGCATTGACACTGTGCGCCCAATTTGAAGAGGATCGTCGTATGCAGGAACTTCAATACGCAGACCTGTACAAGCGAGCGTATATGATAGTGAAGCACCATGTCTATATTGATGTCGATGGTCGAGTCGGTCCCATGGATCCAGAGAATACCTCGTCGGATATGCATGAGCTTATCGGGCAGCGTCTTCCGGAGGAGTTATACTTCTATCTTTCTAAAGGTATCATTGGAGCTGATGTACCCAACTTCCTCACAACTGGCGAGGTTCGCATCTCGCTACCGCTGGGTACTGAAGACTCCGAGATTTACCGCCAGCTTGTGGGTGATATTTTGACACCTGTCCGCACTCAATCTATTTGCCTTCTAGCAAATTCGCTTCATCGATTCTACCAAACAAAAGTCATTCGAATCCGCCTATGGTTCGATGAGAACTCAGAGCGGACGATCAATCTCAAGGGCATCCCCTCAGTCAAGGATACCATCCATCCTTGGAAGATCCACGGAGAACAATTCCCCGAAAGCATCAAGAAGCTGCAGGCGCCTCGCGGATCCTTTAAGTTTGCTGTCCAGAGCTTAACCGACTCTGACTTCGTGTCCAAGTCATTTGCCAATAAAGAAACACCTGTGGGTTTACTCATATTTGACGTTGCTTACGATAACTAACAGCTTCCGAAGGTACTTTCATCGCAGGAAGATATCTTATCTAATGTTACATGGCGCTTCCTGCAATTGCGTGGATACGTCGATGACAAGCACAATCTCACTCCGTGGGGTCAGTGTCTAGTGCAGGCCTTGTCGACTATCGAACCTTCGGATAACCTCGAGGAACCTATATTCATTGCTATTGAGATGATTCGCCTGGGTCTCCTTAACACCAAGCAGTGGTTTTCACATGTATCTGGCGGTCCCATGAGAGGTTCAGAAGAGGACAAGACTTTCAATATGCTAGTTTCACGTGTCGCATGCGTTGCCAAGCTTCAGCACAAGAGCATTGGATATTCTGGACCTTTGAGCCGTCAGCTTCTTTGCTACCGCTCTTTGATTTCTGAGGTGCGCTCCGCAATGAGGAATCTGGTCGAGGTGGTATTGGCTGGTTTGCTGCTCAGCGGTGACGCTGACCGGGATCGCAACGACTGGACTGAGATGGCTATCAAGTATGTTCCTTCTAGACTATCTACGCTTGATCTGGGTTGTTGTTCTAACCTGTTCTTTTAGGCTTCCGTTTATTGATGATAACGACTGTGGACTTGGAATTGCTGTTCGGACTTATCTCGACGACCTCCCGCTTCAGGCAAACCCGACATCGCCTGAGGCTCGAGCGGATGTGAAGGCAAAGGGCAAGGAATGGTTCCAACACAGCGAGAGCTTTATTGGAAACTTGGATTTGGCATTCAAGCTGTGGGATGCGGTTCGTATTGCCTGATGACTACTGAATATGGACCAAAAGCTGATCTTCAGATAGGTTTACGCAGGTACACAGAGTACGGGCAAGGAGTTTAAGGAAGCAAAGTTCTGGGAAGATGCAAACAAGTGGCTGGCAGAGAGACGATGATATGGGCAAGCTTTGCCAACATCAACCACCGCGGGAATTCTGGGTTAAGAGCTTGCAATTGAAGTTTATGCTAACAGCTTCGATCTTGACTCAAAAAAATGCGATACCGACAATTCTCCAGTGTATTACTAACTACCCAGGTAGCAACAGAGACAAAAACAAATCAAGAAAAGATACCACCCAAAAACGGAATAATAAGAATATAGTAATCTATAGCGATGTCATGTATTGAAAATAGATGGATGTGATCTGCGGAGCTGTGGACCAAGTGGCCTCTTCGGCTTTGTTTGTCATCGCCCCCCGAGCTTTAACTCCGTCATCCACCCGATTTCCTTGTGAACTACTTTCCCAAGTATATTCACATTTAAATCCATATACGCAATGGCACGCTTGAGCTTCCTACTCGTCGGAGCTCTCTCAGTCCTTAGCGGCTTCGCTACTGCAGGCTCCGTAGTGAAAGACCTACTCCCCACCAACTTCGATGAAGTCGTCCTGACCGGCAAGCCCGCACTGGTCGAATTCTTCGCTCCCTGGTGTGGCCACTGCAAGACCCTCGCCCCCATTTACGAGGAGCTTGCACAGACCTTCGCTTTCGCCGAAGACAAGGTCACCATCGCCAAGGTCGACGCCGATGAGAACCGCTCGCTCGGCAAGCGCTTCGGTATCCAGGGTTTCCCCACCGTCAAGTGGTTCGATGGAAAGAGCGATAAACCTGAGGAGTACAAGGGTGCTCGTGATCTCGAGAGCTTGTCTGCCTTCGTCACCGAGAAGACCGGCATCAAGCCTCGTAGCGCGCAGAAGGAGGTTAGCAAGGTTGAGATGCTGAACGATGCTTCTTTCAAGACCGTTGTTGGTAGCGATAAGGATGTGCTGGTTGCTTTCACCGCGCCGTGGTGTGGCCGTAAGTTGGTTCCTTAATTGACTCTGGTCTAATTTGTTTTGCTAATTATTCGTCTTCTGTTTAGACTGCAAGTCCCTCGCTCCTACCTGGGAATCCCTCGCCAAGGACTTCGCCCTTGAGTCCGGCGTTGTTATCGCCAAGGTCGACGCCGAGGCTGAGAACTCCCGCGCCCTCTCCAAGGAACAGGGTATTACCGGTTTCCCTACAATCAAGTTCTTCCCCAAGGGCTCCACCGAGGCCGAGGCGTACTCCGGTGCACGATCTGAGGAGGCCTTTGTCAAGTTCGTCAACGAGAAGGCTGGTACACACCGTACTGTCGGTGGTGGTCTTGACAGCTTGGCTGGCACCATCGCCGCTCTGGACGAGATCGTTACTAAGAACGTCGCGGCGAAGAAGTTCGATGAGCTGGTGACTGAGGTTAAGAAGGCCGCCGAGGGTCTGCCCGATAAGTACGCTGAGTACTACGTCAAGGCTGCAGAGAAGCTGAGCAAGAACGAGGGCTACGCCGTCAAGGAGCTCACTCGTCTCCGCAAGGTCCTGGCCAAGGGTGGCTCAGCCCCCGAGAAGTTGGATGATATCCTCTCTCGCAGCAACATTCTCAGCCGCTTTGTTGGCGAGGAGAAGCACGATGAGCTTTAAGTACTTGCCATTGTTATTTCTGGATGTTTGTATTTTCCCGCTTGGGTTTTTGGCTTAAGGCTCTAGTCACTGATTCTAGACCGAGGACCGGGACTGCTGTAAGG